TGCTCAGACATGCACTCCCACCATTGCCATCCTGCACACGTAACCACAGAACGGAGAGGGCTTCTGGTCACAAAGAAGCTTGCATCACCCTACACTTATGATATCACCAGAAACAAGGATCTTTTATTCTTTCACATCAGTCAATACTACTCTATACCCCAATAGCAGAATTTTTGTTTGATGTGCTATGGCCAAGACATCAATATGGTCTTAAAACCAAGCCTTTGCTCAATGGGCTGCAATTAATTATCTGCTGAGCATTTACCAGAAAAAAGGGCTTCTGATTGTAAATATATATCCTTTGTACCTTAGAAGTATTTCTCAGGGACCTGAGAGCCATTCGAAGGAATGTAATCATTAAAAGAATAAGACCTTAGTGGGGCGCTGGTGGATCACACCTGTAATCCTAGCTACTTAGGAGGCAGAGATCAGGGAGATCACAACTTGAAGCCAGCCCAGGCAAATAGTTCATGAGACCGTATCTCAAAAATACTCAACACAAAAAAGGGCTGAGCTATATATAGACATCCTGTCTTCAACACACACACATATGTGCGCGCGCGCGCGCACACACACACACACACACACACACAGTTTTACAAAAGGTCACTTATCACTTGCACAAGCCCAAGTGGTAATAACAAAACAGCCTTGAAGTTTCTGAAAAGTAACCCAGACAAACATTATCATCCAAAATTAGTGACTTTTAGAGTCAACTGAAAGCAAGTAACTAAGGGGGAACACAGGGGCTGAGAGTCAGAGACATAAAAAGTATAAAAGGTTGGTGAGTATAAATGAGACCAGGCCAGATGTGTTTGTTGGCTGGTAACTGTCAAAGTTAGGATATTGTCATCCTATGGAGTGTTAGAGACTATGGTCTTACTCTTTTTTTTTCTTCACGGTACTGAGGTTTGAACTCAGGGCCTCACGCTTATTAAGCAGGGTTTTCTGAGGACTAGATGAGACTGTAAAATGCTTAGCATAGTACCTGCTTCATGGTGAGTCCTCAGTAATTGATGCTGCCATTGTCACTGTTAATTGTCTTCAACAATTGTGTTAAAATACCATTCTTGTTTCATCTAATCGTACACTACTAGAGTAGGTATACATAAGGAGTCACAAATAGTATTCATGTAATACTCCAGGAAACAAGTTTTTAAAAAGCCTCATCCCTAAATATTTTTCCTTTTGGGCAACCTACTAAATTGTATTTCAGGATGAAAGGAAAAGGAGATTTCAAAATGTCACTGCTCCCAACATGCCTTTCCTTTCAAACATTTAATTCATTCATTGAGAGTAAGCAAAAAAAAAAATAGATTTGACTTTGTGTCTTGTGATAGTATCTGTGTTAGGAGAATGATATGTCCTTTAAGAACTATAGCTGATATCAATGTTAAATTCTTCTAAAATGGATTCTGTTCTGTGTCATCTTTTCTGGTTTTTTACCTGATATTTTCCAAAGTCATTCTTGTTTATCACTTAATGTCAACCAGATGAGCTGAAACTAATATTAAATCTATGTGGGAAAAAGCCAAAAAAAAAAAAAAGAACTATAGCTGATAGGCATGTACCCTATTGATCTCTGGTTATATCATGATATAGAAGACACTTTTCAAATCCATTTTTTTTTGCTTACTCTCAATGAATGAATTAAATGTTTGAAAGGAAAAGCATGTTGGGAGCAGTGACATTTTGAAATCTCCTTTAATCCCTTGCTTCCTAGAGGAAGCAAGACATGAAAAGAAGTACAGAGATACAGCTAGCTCACAGAGTATCCCAGCAATACCATTGAGCCTTGGATACAAGAATAGTGACTGTGCAGGGGGTAGAGGGGACTATTGATCATTTTGACTGGCAGGGAACACAGGATTTTCCAACCAGTATTTACACTGTAAAGGAGAGGTTCCCACTGGGAATAAAGAACTTAATGGGCCATTCTGGTAACAATTAAAACTGGGAGGGGCTTTCCCAGCCCAAATTTATATATGAGTGTAGGAGACTGGAAAAAGCTAAAGGCTACTGGAGTGATCTGAGTCCTTGGGACTCTCGAAAAGTACCAGGAAAAATCTCTCTGGAGAGTCATCCCCTAAAGAGGAACTGCTAGGACCACAAACCTTGATTGACAGGGTATTAAAAGAGAAAGACAGCTTACATACTAATGGAGGAAGGGGCCAGAGGCAGGGTGTCCTGGAAAGGATTGGGGAGGTGGCCATATTTTTAATAGTTCCATGTAAAACCAGAAGAGGGAGCGCTAGAGCCATGAAACTAGGAAAGCCCTTCTGGGCCCACTTCTACCCCTTACCCACCTTACTTAAATATAAGCAACAAAAATGGATTGAGGTTGCACTTCGGTTAAACATATTGTAAGAAAAAAATGAGACAAACCTATGAATAGTAAAGCTACAGATAATGAAGTCATTCCAGAAAAATAGCCCTTCCCAAAGGATGAAATTTTATTCACATTCCAAAAAAAGCTGAGGCACATTAGGAGAATGATAGAAGCTATGAAAGAACTTCACGTGTCAGGGTTAGAAAATTCAGAAACTGAAGAACTGCACAACAGGGCATTGTGAGAAAGTAAATGGCAGAAGGAAACGGAGGGGAAACCTAGCAGAGTGAAAGAGATATGAAAATGTACATTTTCTTTAAAATGCCCAAATTATTTTTTTCTTTTATTATTCATATGTGCATACAAGGCTTGGTTCATTTCTCCCCCCTGCCCCCATCCCCTCCCTTACCACCCACTCCGCCCCCTCTCTCTCCCCCCCAATACCCAGCAGAAACTATTTTGCCCTTATTTCTTAATTCCTGTTGAAGAGAGAGTATAAGCAATAATAGGAAGGAACAAGGGTTTTTGCTGGTTGAGATAAGGATAGCTATACAGGGCATTGACTCACATTGATTTCCTGTGTGTGGGTGTTACCTTCTAGGTTAATTCTTTTTGATCTAACCTTTTCTCTAGTACCTGTTCCCCTTTTAAAATGCCCAAATTAAATGATAATGTCAGAGAATGTGCATTTGGGTGGTTAAATTACAAGAAAAGGTGGTGAAATGGTTACTATAAAATTTAGGTAGTGGTTCCTTTTGAGTGAAGAATGAAATTTGAGATATTGGGATGTGATATATATGGGGGAGCTTCTAGTTGGGGGAGGCGGGTAGAAAATTCTTGAACTGAGTGTTGGTAACAAGACTGACTGGCTCATAATAACTCACTAAACTAAGCATTTGTTTGGTTTGGTTTTCTTATCATATCAGTTAATAGCACTTTGGGATGCAAACAACATAAAAGCCTAATGAATACCAGCTTAAATAGATGTTTATCTTGGATCCTATTCATGGGCTGGTGCCGTGGCTCCTGTTCCAATTAGGCATCCAGGCCCTCAAATTTTCTATCATACTACCTTTGGGTTTCAGTGGCACTGCAGTTGTCCCTAGTTGGCTGCATGTGTCTGGCCCCTTTGCCCTCTTCTGCACAGAAAGAGGTGACATTCTGCAAGGGATGCTGGGAACATGAGTTCTTAGCTCCTACAGACCTTCGGGTAGAAACCACCAAAGGAGAAGGTGGCTGGGTGTGAGCGTTGAGAGAGAACATTGCCATATGTATACATCTAGAGCATTGGTTCTTAACTGGCAGTGATATTGTCCCTCCTACTCTCAGGGGAGACTTTTCGCAAGGGCTAGAGACATTTTGGATATTACAATTGAGAGAGGCAATGCCACTGACATCTGATAGGTAGAGAGGCCAGGGATACTGGCAAACATCCTAAGATGCATGGGCCAGCCCCCAGCCCAAAGAGATGATCTGCCGCAGATGTCAGTAGAGCTGAAGTTGAGAAATCCTGCTGTGGAGCAGCGACTCTCAAAGAGTGGTTAGGGGGCTCTTGGAGGCCCCCAAAACCTTTTCAGGGGATCCATCAGGTCAAAATCAACTTAATAACCACAGTAATATATTATTTGTCTTTTTTACTCCCATCTCTCATAAGTATACAGTGGAGTTTTCACAAAGCTACCTAACGTGGGAGGCTGGCAGTCTGTTGCTCAGATACAGAAACAGTGGGAGAAGCATCTCACTTCCATTAATCCAGATATTTAATGAGATTTACAAAAACGTGAAACAGTGGCTATCTTCATGTTTTCTTGTTTTAGAAAATATTATTTTTATTTAAAATGTCATATTAACACATAATGGATTGTTATTAATTTTAAATTAATAAATATTTAATTTTTCCCATTTTATTCTATACCATACATATCAGAAAACGAAGGCTCTTTGGAGGCTTCAGTAATTCTTTAGAATGTAAAGTAGTCCTGAGGCCAAAAGTTTGAGAATTGCTAACCTTAAAAACAGATGATTTTTAAATGCTTAAGAAATGTGAAAACTGAGAAGTATAATAATGGGCCTGATGTGGTGGCACAGACCAGCACTCAGGAGGATGGAAACTTCTAGGCAAGTCTGGGTTACAGTAGCAAGTTCTGGCCAGCGTGGGCTCTATAGTGAGACCCTGTCTCAAAAGAAAGTATAATAGTATAATCATGTATAGTCTGTCATTGATGAAGACTTCAATTACTATACAAGCCTTGATTACAGTCTTTGTCCCCTGACCCAGTGCCGGGTTCTCCTAGCACAGTGGTCAGCAAAAACGGGGTTTCTGCCTTCAATGAGATTCCATCCCATCAGAAAAGCCAAACCATGTTAATGGTGATTTGTTTTTCCAGTTTCTGTACTAGGTATTTTCCAAGGGTGAAGAGATAAGGGTTGAAAGGATAGTGTTTAGGTTCAGGCCCATTAGACTCAAAGATCATGTCAAACCTCATGCAGGTGGGAAGTTTGCCATTTTCCTTTCTGCCAGAGACAGACTCCCTTTGACACCATCTTTGACTCCCTTGTTGTCTCCCAATCCCCATGGTCCCACCTAGGATAGAACTTGCCTCTATAAATCTAGAATCGGTGGTTAAGGGCAGAAAAAAAGTAATTTCTGTGCTTTGGGCCCACTTTTCAGTGACTGTGCTGGCGATATTTAATGAATTGCACGCTGATGTGGATCTTTACGCACTTCTGTTTGGAGAGAGTGTCCTAAATGATGCCGTTGCCATTGTACTGTCCTCGTAAGTAGCCATGTTTGTGTGGAGAAGAGAGACCTTGGTCTCCTGCATGCTTTGGGCCACATGTGGAGGCCTGTCTCAAAGTGTTAGATGTGGAATTGAGTATTTTTCTAAATGAGATTTATCAGCTTTGGTGATAAAGTTGTGCTGCCTTGTCTGCTCAGCAGCAATCAGAATGCTGACACCACAGTAACATGGTGGTTGCAGATTAAATTAAATGAATTTGCCCTGGGCAGTGGTTGGCAGAGTATAGATACCTTTGTTTGTTGATATTTTCAGTTACAATGGTCTTCACTTATCCTTGGGGGCTATGTTTCAAGATCCCCAGTGGATGCCTGAAACCACGGATAGTACCAAACCATACGTATACTATGGGCTCTTTTCCCTATACATACATATCTATGCTAAAGTTTAATTAACAAAAACTAATAATGAAATAGAACAATTACTACAATATACTATAAGAAAATTATGTGAATGCGGAGGTCTCTCTCCCTTCCTCTACTTTTTTCCTTCCCTATTCCTCTCGCCTCTGTCAAATATCTTTATTGTAACCTTTTCACTTAAAGGAAGCACATTGTGGCTTCTCTTTGGCATATCTGAAGTTCCAGCATCACTACTCTTGCTCTTTGGACCCATTATTAAGTAAAATGAGGGTTGTTTGAACACAAGCTCTGCAATCTGATAACCTGGATAGCTAGTAAGAGACTAATGGGTGAATAGCATATACAGTGTGGATATACTGGACAAAAGAATGATAACCCCATTCTGGCTGGGTAAAGCTGGATGGTCTGAGATTTCATCATGCTGTTAGGAACAGCATACAATGTAAAACTTATGAATTATTTATTTCTATAACTTTCCATTTGATATTTTCAGATTTTGGATGACCTTCGGTAATTAAAACTATGGAGAGTGAAATTGTGGAGGGGCAAACAACTGTACCATGCTGTAAAAATCAATGCAGACTTTTAACTCTCTTTTTTTAAATTGCAGGTCTATTGTTGCCTACCAGCCAGCGGGGCTGAACACTCATGCCTTTGATGCTGCTGCCTTTTTTAAGTCAGTTGGCATTTTTCTAGGTATATTTAGTGGCTCTTTTACCATGGGAGCTGTAACTGGTGTTGTGACTGCTCTAATATCCTTTTAGTAGTTTCTGTCACTGCTTGGGGGGGTATGTGTGTGTGACATTACATCTTCACAGAGAAAGTTATCAGGAATCTTTCTTTTCAGATTAGAAATTTTAAATTGGATTTGGTTCCACTATGGTGTTTGTGATTTGAGTCCACGTGGGTGAGGCACAACAGTTTGGTGAGGCATGACAGTTGGGTCCCTAGCTAAGTCTTGAGATAAAGATTGGGAGTGTAACTCTAGACACCACTTAGTTCTCACCTTTGCTTTTTTTCCCCATTTCTTATGAACCAGTTGGACCATCAAATTTTTTTTATTCATTTATTATTCATTGTGCATAAATGCTTGGGTCTTTCTCCCCCTGCCCCACCCTCCCTTACCACCCACTCCGCCCCCCTCCCTCTCCCCCCAACCCTTCAATACCCGCAGAAACTATTTTGCCCTTATCTCTAATTTTGTTGAAGAGAGAGTATAAGCAATAATAGGAAGGAACAAGGGTTTTTGCTGGTTGAGATAAGGATAGCTATACAGGGATTGACTCACATTGATTTCCTGTGCGTGTGTGTTACCTTCTAGGTTAATTCTTTTGATCTAACCTTTTCTCTAGTTCCTGGTCCCCTTTTCCTATTGGCCTCAGTTGCTTTAAGGTATCTGCTTTAGTTTCTCTGCGTTAGGGCAACAAATGCTAGCTAATTTTTTAGGTGTCTTACCTATCCTCACCCCTTGTGTGCTCTCGCTTTTATCATGTGCTCAAGTCCAATCCCTTGTTGTGTTTGCCCTTGATCTAATGTCCACATATGAGGGAGAACATACGGTTTTTGGTCTTTTGGGCCAGGCTAACCTCACTCAGAATGATGTTCTCCAATTCCATCCATTTTACCAGCGAATGTAACATTTCGTTCTTCTTCATGGCTGCATAAAATTCCATTGTGTATAGATACCATTTTCTTAATCCATTCGTCAGTGTGGGGCATCTTGGCTGTTTCCATAACTTGGCTATTGTGAATAGTGCCGCAATAAACATGGGTGTGCAGGTGCCTCTGGAGTAACCTGGTCACAGTCTTTTGGGTATATCCCCAAGAGTGGTATTGCTGGATCAAATGGTAGATCATGTTAGCTTTTTTAAGTAGCCTCCAAATTTTTTTTCCAGAGTGGTTGTACTAGTTACATTCCCACCAACAGTGTAAGAGGGTTCCTTTTTCCCCGCATCCTCGCCAATACGTGTTGGTGGTGGTGTTGCTAATGATGGCTATTCTAACAGGGGTGAGGTGGAATCTTAGTGTGGTTTTAATTTGCATTTCCTTTATTGCTAGAGATGGTGAGCATTTTTTCATGTGTTTTTTTGGCCATTTGAATTTCTTCTTTTGAGAAAGTTCTGTTTAGTTCACTTGCCCATTTCTTTATTGGTTCATTAGTTTTGGGAGAATTTTAGTTTTTTAAGTTCCCTATATTCTGGTTATCAGTCCTTTGTCTGATGTGTAACTGGCAAATATTTTCTCCCACTCTGTGGGTGTTCTCTTCAGTTTAGAGACCATTTCTTTTAATGAACAGAAGCTTTTTAGTTTTATGAAGTCCCATTTATCTATGCTATCTCTTAGTTGCTGTGCTGGGGTTTCGTTGAGAAGTTCTTACCTATACCTACTAACTCCAGAGTATTTCCTACTCTTTCCTGTATCAACTTTAGAGTTTGGGGTCTGATATTAAGATCCTTGATCCATTTTGAGTTAATCTTGGTATAGGGTGATATACATGGATCTAGTTTCAGTTTTTTGCAGACTGCTAACCAGTTTTTCCAGCAGTTTTTGTTGAAGAGGCTGCTATTTCTCCATCGTATATTTTTAGCTCCTTTGTCAAAGATAAGTTGGTTATAGTTGTGTGGCTTCATATCTGGTCCTCTATTCTGTTCCACTGGTCTTCATGTCTGTTTTTGTGCCAGTACATGCTGTTTTTATTGTTATTGCTTTGTAATATAGTTTGAAGTCAGGTATTGTGATACCTCCTGCATTGTCTTTTGACTGAGTATTGCCTTGGCTATTCGTGGCCTCTTGTGTTTCCATATAAATTTACAGTAGATTTTTCAATCTCTTTTGAATGTCATTGGATTTTGATGGGAATTGCATTAAACATGTAGATTACTTTGGGAGTATCGACATTTTTACTATGTTGATTCTACCAATCCATGAGCATGGGAGATCTCTCCACTTTCTATAGTCTTCCTCAATCTCTTTCTTCAGAAGTGTATAGTTTTCCTGTAGAGGTCTTTCACATCTTTTGTTAGGTTTACACCTAGGTATTTGATTTTTTTTGAGGCTATTGTAAATGGAATTGTTTTCATACATTTTTTCAGTTTGCTCATTGTTAGTGTATAGAAATGCTAATGATTTTTCTATGTTGATTTTATATCCTGCTACCTTGCTATAGCTATTGATGATGTCTAGAAGGCTTCTGAGTAGATTTTTTTGGGTCTTTATAGTATAGGATCATGTCGTCTGCAAATAGGATATTTTGACAGTTTCTTTACCTATTTGTATTCCTTTTATTCCTTCTTCTTGCCTAATTGCTCTGGCTAGGAATTCCAGTACTATGTTGAATAGTGAGTGGAGATGAGTGGGGCAATCCCTTGTCCCTGGTCGTTGTGTATTTTTAGAGGGATATGGTCTAAGTTTTTCTCTCTGTTTAAGTATAATGCTTGGCTGTAGGTTTTGTCAATATATAGCTTTTTATAATGTGAGTACTACTTTTACTGCATTGTGGTCAGATAGTATGCATGGTATATTTCTATTTTCTTTATTTGCTGAGGCTTGCTTTGTGCCCTAGGATATGATCTATTTTGGAGAAGGTTCCATGGGCTGCTGAGAAGAATGTATATTGTGTAGAGTTGGATGAAATGTTCTGTAGACCTCTACTAGGTCCATTTGATCTATTGCATATTTTAGATCTTGGATTTCTTTATTGATTTTTTGTTTGGATGACCTATCTATTGATGATAATGGGGTGTTAAAGTCTCCCACAACCACTGTGTTGGCGTTATATATGCTTTTAGGTCTTTCAGGGTATGTTTGATGAAATTGGGTGCGTTGACATTGGGTGCATAGATTGATGATTATTATTTCCTTTTGGTCTATTTCCCCTTTTATTAGTATGGAATGTCCTTCTTTATCTTGTTTGATCAATGTAGGTTTGAAGTCTACTTTGTCAGAGATAAGTATTGCTACTCCTGCTGTTTTCGGGGGCCATTGGCTTGGTAAATCTTCTTCCAGCCTTTCATCCTAAGCCTATGCTTATTTCTGTCGGTGAGATGGTCTCCTGTAAGCAACAAATTGTTGGATCTTCTTTTTAATCCATTTCTCAAACGGTGCCTTTTGATGGGTGAATTAAGTCCATTAACATTAAGTGTTAGTACTGATAGGTATGTGGTGATTCTTCCTTTAGTCATTTTTGGTTGTTTGTGTGTACCTAAGTTGAGGTTACTCTCTCTACTGTCTTGCTTTTTCTTTTCCTGTGGTTTGGTGCTGCCTGTCTTTTCATGGTTAAGTTGGGTTTCACTTTCTGTGTGCAAATCCCTTGAGAATCTTTTGTAGTGGTGGCTTTGTGGTCACATATTGTTTTAGTTTCTGCTTATCATGGAAGACTTTTATTGCTCCATCTATTTTGAATGATAGTTTTGCTGGGTAGAGTATCCTGGGGTTGAAGTTATTTTCATTCAGTGCCGAAGATCTCACCCACCCAGCTCTTCTTGCTTTTAATGTTTCTGTTGAGAAGTCTGCTGTGATTTTGATGGGTTTACCTTTGTATGTTACTTGTTTTTTCTCTCTTACAGCCTTCAATATTCTTTCCTTAGTTTCTGAACTTGTTGTTTTAATGATGATATGTCGTGGGTAGTTCTATTTTGATCTGGTCTGTTTGGTGTCCTGGAGGCCTCTTGCATCTGTATGGGAATATCTTTCTCTAGATTTGGGAAATTTTCCATTATTATTTTGTTGAATATATTACGCATTCCCTTCGCTTGCACCTCTTCTCCTTCTTCGATGCCCATGATTCTCAAGTTTGGTCTTTTGATGGAGTCAGTGAGTTCTTGCATTTTCTTTTCACAGGTCTTGAGTTGTTTAATTAATAGTTCTTCAGTTTTTCCTTTAATTACCATTTCATCTTCAAGTTCTGAGATTCTGTCTTCTGTTTGTTCTATTCTGCTGGATTGGCCTTCTTTTGTTTTGCAGTTCTGTTTCGTTCTTTTTTCTGAGGTTTTCCATATCCTGGCAGTTTTCCTCTTTATGTTGTCTATTTTTGTCCTGAGTTCATTTATCCATGTTTATTCATTGTGTTCTCTCTTTCACTTTGGTGTTTATACAGTGCTTCTATGGTTTCCTTTATTTCTTCTTTTGCTTTTTCAAATTCTCTATTTTTTTGTCTTGGAATTTCTTGAGTGTCTCCTGTACATTTTGGTTGACCCTATCCAGTATCATCTCTATAAAATTCTCATTGAGTACTTGTATGTCTTCTTTTAAATTATTCTTGTGGGCTTCATTGGGTCCTTTGGCATAGTTTATCTTCATTTTGTTGGAGTCTGGATCTGAGTACTGTTTTTCTTCATTCCCTCTGGTTCCTGTACTAATTTTTTGCTGTGGGGAAACTGGTTTCCCTGTTTTTTCTGTCTTCCCATCATTGTCTTTGGTGTTGTTACTGTCCCTGTACTGTGTGCAATTAAGTATTTTCTAGCTTGTAATAATAACAATGGTAATATTTAGAATGGAAGGGTGAGCTGAGATGGAAAGCAAGAAGTTAAAGAAAAGGGAAAACAAATACACAGACAAGAGGGAAAGCAGAACAAGGTTCAGACAAGAAGTTTCAAAGGTATAAACAGGGAGTGTTAGTGTACTAATCGACAGTAAGCTGAACAGACATTAGAGAGACAGAGAGAGGATTGAAAATCAAAAAAAAAAAAAATAAGTAAATAAAAAAAAATAAGTAAATGAAAGAATATCTATATATAAAAATGAAAAAATATGAAATAGAAAATTAAAAAAAAAAAAAAAAAACAAAAAACCTCCAAGTTTTCAAATGCAATGAATTTCAGTCTTAATAATTTGGGTGTCTGTCTCAGTCTCCAGTCCTGGAGATGG